TCCCAGTCACTGCCTCTTGACATTCTGTAAGTGTATCTTCTGTAATGTAAACAGTCTTTAACAACCGCTATCAGATGAGTCCGCTGCCCACCAAGCACCAGCGGCCCGAGGCTACCTACAGGAGCTGCTCCCAGTCACTACCTCTTGACATTCTGTAAGTGTCCCTCCTGCAAGCTTGCTTATAGTCTTTGACAGCTGCTATCAGATGAGTGCGCTGCCCATCAAGCACCAGTGGCCCGAAGCTACCTACAGGAGCTTTCCCAGTCATTGCCGTGTAAGTGTCCCTTCTGCAATATTCATATTCTTTGATAGGCATTATAGGGTAGTGACAGGCAACACACTAAGCACCAGTGGCCCGAAGCTACCTACAGGAGCTGCTCCTAGTCACTGCCTCTTGACATTCTGTAAGTGTCCCTTCTGCAATCATAATAGTCTTTGACAGTCACTATCTGATGTCCGCTGCCGACCATTTTTTCTCTTACTTGCCTATTATTCCATACTATTATTTGATTAAAGTGTCTTGTGCAGTCAATTGAAGAAACTTCTTTAAGCAAGTAGACAATATCTATGTATAGGCTTGTCGCTTTGATGACATCAAAACAATTAGCAGGAATAATGTTACCATTCACTCAAATTGAATCACTGCAATTAACGGTAATGGTCTGTCGAAAGATAAGGAAGCAATTACGATATGAATATCGGATCAGGTTGGCAAGCTACTGTTACTGCANAAACCGTGGCGCAAAAGCTCAGTTTACACTTTACAATGTAAACACTTAGCGTAAACCAACAGTTAAAAATGAGCGGTTAAGCCGTAACTGTAGCGGTCAGGGGTACGTTTGTCGATTAGTTTTGTTTACTGAAACTGGATTGAACGCTTGCAAAGTTAATTGATGCGGACTACAAATGGACAGGGTTATCACATGAATTATTACATGTCTTTACATAAAAACACATATAAATAAAAATAATTTGATAGATATGTGTTGCTTACCTACTCGTGTATCTATTTCTTGACCTATTTGACGTTCAAATATCCGCTGAAGTAAAAAAAATGGAAAAGAAATCTTAGAAAATATAAAAAAAACTGGTACCTATTCCTTACTTTGCAGTGGTGGATACCAAATGATAATGATGATGATTCTTTGTATTCAAAATAACGTGTGAGTTACGTTCCATTCCAAAATTAACGCACAATCATATTATTTAAAACAAAACTGAACCAATTATAACAGAAAATACGAGAGATACGGTTAAATGTTCGATCAAAATTGCTGTAATTAAGGCAATAACGATGCTGACTAGCCAAATAGCTGATCGATCCCAAAACGGATTTAAATTTGCATTTTAATAGTTATTTTAGTCCACATCAAAAATTGCTTTATAATTTCCACTGAAAACGGTTTAACATCCTGATGTTTAAAAACCTTTTTAAGCAAGCGTCAATAATTATGGCTTTTCATGACATTCAGTAATATGCAATACAAATTAAAAATACAGCGCTGGAAAAGCGCTTATTTTTAAATATGTGTCATTCCTTTCCTGAGCCGCAGAATACTTATAGTACAACCAGAGCCGTAAAATGTAGGTTACCATAAAAAAATAATTTTCAGGACATTAAAATATAAGACTGAAATAAAAACACAATATCTACGTTTACATTTCCTTTTATAGAATAAAAGGTGTAAACTTTTATAACCATTTAGCTTTTTTGGGTTGTGTTTAAAAGCCTAGTCATCGTGCTGCAAAATTAAAAGAGTTAGTTTAAAAGAAAATACTTTTAAAGAGTTTTAAGCACGCATCATAATAATTTTTATATCAGAATAATCCGAGAGTAATCGATTGGTTTACGTATTGTATACCTTTATTATGTTGAATTACCCTACTAAAGCACTTGTTTTTATTAAAGTTTGCTGTTCACAATGCCACTGAAGTTTGAACTTCAGTAAATTGCAGACATTATTGTTAATTCCATACAATCATCGATGACCTTTCGTTGTAGTGTTGACGTGAGGGTAAACATAATTTTACCGTTTGAATAAAACTTTCCATTTAAAAAAACAAAACATGTTTGAGTTTTGAAAAGTTTTAGTTAAATATTCTAAATATTTTAGTAAAATCTAACTACAGCTTCTCCGAGATCTTGTGCTCTGCTAACTTTGAGCAGCTTATTTAATTTTTAGTTCACAGAAATTACCCAATTCTTATTTATTCATTGTAAATTACCAAAATCCCATTAGATCTTGTTAAGATGGTTTTTAGGACAACAAATTAAAGACAGGTTTATTATTGTGAATACAAAGTAGAATTATGTCAAAAGACAAATTAATTTAATACGGAAAATAATTGGGTACTATTTCAAAGGCAAAATTGAACATTAGTAAATTTTAAAGGGTCACAAGCCTTTATGTTGAGAACTAAAATGAATGTCCCAGGTTTTAAGGTCCAAAAACAATTGTGTACAAATTACGTTGGTGTCCTAATTAACAGAGAACATCTGGCGAACCTATTAAAAAGTGGTTAGGTTTGGCGAAATATTCCAAACACCGAGATGTTTTACGCTAGCTCGTAAAAGCATCCACAGCTGAGTTATACTCCGAAAGCTTGCTGTAACTCGTGTGGTTGACCATTATGACCATAACTACCCATTTGGCTTTTAGCTCACGACTTGAGAGGCTAGAGGTGAGTTAGTGGCAGTGCGGTTTGCTATCTGACTACTAGTAACACTGTTATGAAGCTTGTAGTATTGAAATGGGCTGGCCAAAATAGTCACTTTTTAAATTTCGAAAAAAAAAGGAAAAACTTTTACTTAATTAACTAATTAATTAGCTGTCATCCTTATTCTTATCCTATTTGACACTGTTAAGTATGAAGCTTCGAGAAATATTTGAATAGGGTAGCGAGCATAGTTCCGTATTGCTATCAAATAAAGAAAAAGGTAGATATTTCCATTGTTTCCAAGAAAAAATCTTTCTTGAAAGCTTTCCTAAGACTCTCGTAGAGTAGTAGAAACCTAATAAGTGCTGTAGATACGAATTCCATACCTATAAACTTTAAAAGCGACGTCCTCAATCTTTATAAAGGAAGGCGCTGGTTCATGCCGTTACCGACCGGGCGTCGTGGAAATCATTGGGGGAGGCCTATGTACAGCAGTGGACGTCCTGTGCCAGAAATGATGACGATGTTTGGTGATGATGTGAGGAAGAGTTCTACCGCATATACATCTATTATGGCCACATTAAGTAGAGGCCGGAAGTTTCTTTTTACGGCGCAATGCAAATCTGAAATGTTTAATTTAGCTCGACCTTCGTTTAACTCTTAGCCACGTGGGAGTTAAGAGTTTGGAGTTGTTTCTATGATTTCGTAGGTACATAAAAGAAGAACGGTCATCTGTGACCCAGGACAGAAACGAGACATGCCTCAGTTTTTTCGTCATGTCTTAATTAGTTAAATTATATATTTTTTATATTCGAAATCTATGTATAACACCAAAATATTACCCTTTGTTTTTGTTCAGGCGTTATACAAAAACTAATACAAAATGCCTATTTATCACCAAAATTGGTAAATGTATGTACCTAAATGTCTAGTATAGCTGCTATGGAATGTATCTAGGTGACCTGGAGATACAGCCGGATTATACAGGGTGGAAACGAGAAGTTACAAAATTCAAAAATTCAATGTTACCAGCTTCCATTATCTGTAACCTATTATTGGTACCTTTTGAAAGAGCTCGTGAAGCACTTTCAGAATCAGTAACTAGTTTTTCGATATCTTGTATAGTTTAGAAATAATCGAGTGAGATCACTTATCATTCCATATGTATAACCAGCCTGTATAATCCGGCTGTATCTCCAGGTCACCTAGATACATTCCATAGCAGCTGTAATAGACATTTAGGTACATACATTTACCAATTTTGGTGATAAATAGGCATTTTGTATTAGTTTTTGTATAACGCCTGAACAAAAACAAAGGGTAATATTTTGGTGTTGTACATAGACTTCGAATATAAAAAATATATAATTTAACTAATTAAGACATGACAAAAAAACTGAGATATGTCTCATTTCTGTCGGGTCTGGGTTTTTTTTGTATGGGGCGTGACCGTTCTTCTTTCATAATTAAATCTACAAATGTTCGTGAATGTTCGATGTGCTTATTAGCTGGAATGAAAATCAAAGTGTAATTTCCAATTATTATTGTCATTAGAACGCTCTACCTTAGCCTCGTGAAGGCAAATAATTATTTTTTGACGTAAAAGCCTTGCCTTGAATGAGAGATTTATCTATTCAATGTCAACTTTAGTATCAATAAATATGGAAAATCTATTACCATGAAGCTGCGTGTACTAATTATAATTTAAAATTGTATAGTTCAAGAATTTCATGCCAATTAATAGGTACATAGAATTTGTCCAGCAGTGGACGTCATTTGGTTGAAACGAACGGATACATAGAAACATATCATTAGCGGTAAACCTAGCAAAAATAGGTTATAAACTGAAGTACCTTACCGCTGAAATCTATACGAAACGTTGCCGGGTCAGCTTAGCTCTCACCATTTTGGTTACCTCATAAATTTCAGTTCGACCACTGTATGTTGGACCGCAAATTCAGCCGGTGACCCGGTCTTAAGCAACAGGGCGAGTGTGACCTGTATACCTGTACAGGGCAACCTGTATAGTACAGTTACTGAACAACAAAGGCGAAAACGTGTAAAGTGAAGTTACCTAGCCGCAGACTCGTAAACTCGGTAAGGTACGGTGGAATTCACGGACTGAATTTGGAAACCGCGATTTTGCGAGCCATAGTACATACATGGTACAGTAGGCTAACACCGTAGAAAAAAATTGCCTATTTAGGCACGTAAGGTACTTAAACGGCGTATTGTAATCAATTGTATGAAATTAACAAACTTACAACCTAAACGGTAGATTTATATAAGTAGAAATGTACCTTTTCCTACATTTATGACTCTCATTAATTTCGATTATGTTTTGTTACAGGTTCAGGAGAAGTCTACGGGCTTATGTAATATGGTATGATAACGTCACATATATTTACTTTTTTACCTATTATTAAACTCAGAAAAGTTATATGGTGCTCTAATTGTTTAGCTCTTGTTACAGATTCACAAAAGAGGACTTGAAAAACTAAACCGAATATTACTTTACATACTGCACTGTAAATTTTAATCAAGCAATGACTGTGATGGGAAGTTAGATGTAGAAGTGACGTATCGATGGGAGCCGCATGGAGTCGCGCGCGCAGATGAGTCCGCTGCCCACCAAGCACCAGCGGCCCGAGGCTACCTACAGGAGCTGCTCCCAGTCACTGCCTCTTGACATTCTGTAAGTGTCCCTTCTGCAATATTTATAATCTTTGATAGGCACTGTCGAGCGGCGACAACACACCAAGCACCAGCGGCTCGAGGCTACCTATAGGAGTTGCTCCCAGTCACTGCCTCTTGACATTCTGTAAGTGTCCCTCCTGCAAGCTTGCTATAGTCTTTGACAGCTGCTATCAGATGAGTTCGCTGCCCACCAAGCACCAGCGGCCCGAGGCTACCTACAGGAGCTGCTCCCAGTCACTACCTCTTGACATTCTGTGTCTCTTCTGTAATGTAAACAGTCTTTGACAACCGCTATCAGATGAGTCCGCTGCCCACCAAGCACCAGCGGCTCGAGGCTACTTACAGGAGCTGCTCCCAGTCACTGCCTCTTGACATTCTGTAAGTGTCTCTTCTGTAATGTAAACAGTCTTTGACAACCGCTATCAGATGAGTCCGCTGCTCACCAAGCACCAGTGGCCCGAAGCTACCTCCAGGAGCTTTCCCAGTCATTGCCTCTTGACATTCAGTAAGTGCCCCTTCTGCAATCTTACTTAGTCCTTGAACAGCTAGTGTCAGACGTGGCTACATACAGCAATTGCTCCAAGTAACGAGCAAGGGCTTGCAGATATTCCTTAAGCATCCCTTTGAAGTTATTTTCAATCGTCTGCCATACCTTTTTGCCTTCAACATCAGCCGAATCTGTGTACACATCAGGCTACCCATTTTTGTTGTAAACTCGCCCCTATTACAACTGCACAAGAACCCGCAGTGGTTACTTTGACGTGCCGTCGTCTGTACATATCACTTATTAATCGTTTACAGCTTATAGTAATCCTTTTTGCAAGTGTCTTTGGCTGTCACTTCAAACCTTCAATGCAAGTAACTCAGCAAGGCGTAGCTTTGATTTCACTAAAACAATTGGCCAGTATTATCTTACCATTCACTCAAATTGAATCACTGCAATTAACGGTAATGGTCTGTCGAAAGATAAGGAAGCAATTACGATATGTATATCGGATCAGTTGGCAAGCTACTGTTACTGCGNTTACTGCAAACCACCTGATAGCGTGTCAACTATTCTACTATCAGCTCATTAGCATTTAATTCTTCCGCCTATTTCAAATAAGCAAGAGAAAGTATTTAACGACACCGAGAAAAATGTGTGGAAAAACGGAATGTAAAATTACTACCTACTACTTTTTCGTAGTACACCTCATTTTATAAATTTGTGAGATTATAGATTTTTGTCGGGTGCACTTATTTCATATTCCTCATTTTCAAACTTGTCTAATCCAGACCTTAGTTACCCTGAGGTTGAATATAGTGAATTATGCCCAGTGAACAGTCACTTTATCAATCCACACGTTTACTGCTACCTAAATCCATACTTGAATTATAACAACTTGTTTTTGTCCACCTGTCTGCTACTTTTACATGCCTAAACTTGTCTGATGGTAAGGCCTTAGTCGAAAACTAGTACTTATTATAGTTAAAATTATAGATATTTTTTTCCTATCAGATGGTTGCCTCGTTCCTCGTTCCGGCCGGCAGAGGGCGAGTTGGCGGACTGCGTGCTGGTGGTGGGAGTGTCGCGGCCGAAGCTCGCCGCGGCCCTCCTATCCGTCACGCTGCTGTCACTCTTCCTCACCTTCCACGTGCTCTATGACAGCGCACTCTATAGCATACAGGTGAGCAACACACGACACGACACTGCATAAACATAAACACAACACCGAAGCTCGCCGCGGCCCTCCTGTCCGTCACGCTGCTGTCACTCTTCCTCACCTTCCACGTGCTCTATGACAGCGCACTCTATAGCATACAGGTGAGCAACACACGACACGACACTGCATAAACATAAACACAACACCGAAGCTCGCCGCGGCCCTTCTGTCCGTCACGCTGCTGTCACTCTTCCTCACCTTCCACGTGCTCTATGACAGCGCACTCTATAGCATACAGGTGAGCAAACACCATATGTGTAACCGACATAGCTCGCAGAATTGCTAAAATCAAGTGGCAGTGGGCGGGGCACATAGCTCGTAGAGACGATGGCCGTTGGGGCAGGAAAGTTCTCGAGTGGCGACTACGGGCTAGAAGACGTAGCGTGGGCAGGCCTCCTACTAGGTGGACCGAAGAGCCTGGATGCGGGCAGCGCAGGACCGTTCATTGTGGAAAACCTTGGGGGAGGCCTTTGTCCAGCAGTGGACGTCATTTGGCTGAAACGAAGACGAACGAGCAAACACACGACACGACACTGCACAAACATAAACACAACACCGAAGCTCGCCGCGGCCCTCCTGTCCGTCACGCTGCTGTCGCTCTTCCTCACCTTCCACGTGCTCTATGACAGCGCACTCTATAGCATATAGGTGAGCAACCACAAAAGACTGCTTTAACTCAAATACAACACATACAGAGTGAATTTGCAATCAGTGTCCGAATTTTTAGGAGCGACTGCTTAATCGGTTTACGTAAAGAAAACTTTTTTTTTTTCTAATTTAATTATTTTTATCCGCCGCGAGCGGTTTTAAAATTGGCACATGTGGATAATTTATTTACTTCGTTCATTAAAAAATACGTACACAAAAGTAACTGCAAAGCTTAATGGACATAATGGTGTGGAAAAATAAGCCATAACCTTTAAAACTTATGATATGGACTGGACACCCGCGAATTAGATTTTCAATTAGTTCTTGCGAAAAATATCACGATTAAAATTAATTAAGATAAAGTTGTATTGTTAAATTGTTCTATCATATATCACCCTGTATTACACTGAAGCTCGCTGCTGCCCTCTTATCCGTCACGCGCCGCTGCTGTCACTCTTTCTCATAATAATATATTCTTCCCTTCCTATTTATAAATAACAATCACAACAAATTCTCGTAATCGTCAACAAGAAACACCTAATAATAATTCACCGTACCCAACCGTGATAAACATTTCCCTCGCCATGGTATAAGGTATAATCCCACCTAATTTCACCGTGAGATATTAGCCCCGGTTATCAATGCTCCGATATATTACCCACTTACTTCTTGCTTCGATCCCGGGCACGTATGAAAGGCACTTTCACGTACACTCGGCCGCGATATTATGGGTAATATGTGCAGATAGGGAGATTTACAGCTGTACTCTCCAGCTAAAAGCATGGCTGCAGTTCTATTAAATATACATAAAGTACATGGAATGGGCGATACTGGCGTTTGGGAGTAAATTTTACATTAGATATCTTTACTCATTTGTGTGTTACATTATATCGATTAATTTAATTCATGTAAGTTCTTCAAAACTATTTCGTTTATATTTTCTTAATCAAACAAAAGTTTTGGGAAAATTGAAAGTGTACAAAATCATGAAGGAAAAATATACAATGGAATAATGCTTTTTTCAAAAGTAGATAAGTTTTTGCTGATCAGTTCCTTACACGCTGATTGACTCTGTCCGCCTGTATTCACAATCATTACGTTGACGTCTCACAGTGCGCGTGGACGCACAGGGTGACACGAACTTATCATCACAGGGCTCTAATCAACGCTGTGCGTTCGATTTGCTGCTTCACTTAAGCAAGTATCTTTTGCGAATACGGGCGTAAGTATGCTTCTTGCATTATTAAAACTCTACTGGCAGTGAAGAGAAAATTAGATCACTCTAATTGTCGGCCTCGTGCGTGACCCACTTTAATCCGGGCTACACATTATGCCCATTTCTTCTTAATGTGTCTAAGATCATTAGGAAGAATGAGGGTTAGGTCGGCGCGTTTCATATTTCATCACTCCGCAGACGTCACGTAGCAATAAATATGAGGTGGCACTTAAGTATAAAACTATAGAGCTAGCGCTTACTGAGTCAGTGCTTGAGGTATGGCAGCGACACGTTTTTCCCGTAGTACCTACCGCTCCCATATCCAATGACCAACCTATGAACGCGCGCGCAGTGATCTGCATGCATTGGTTTAGCTGAAGCTTAAGCCACATTTAAGCGGTAGACCAAATTGTAACACGAAGCGTATTGATGATATTTTTTTATTGATCGAACAATCGACTTATTGCGACTGCTTACTCTTTCGAAAACCAATCGAGCTATCAAATATGAACAAACATACTGTATCGGCACGTATCTCCTCAATGTTGTCGTGAACCGATTCTCGCATTCAATAGGCCGTAAACCTTAAGCGCATTTTACGCGGATTTAAACACGAACTCGACAATATGCTTGTGTTATGTCACAAATAAACCGCTTATTGTCTAACGCAAGATGGCTGTCACTTATGTTGGATTTTATACAGGGTGTGTCGTAGCGTCGCCTTAGCATAAACCTCGATGCGGGAAATACACTGAATATTGCTTACAAAGTCACTCTGATAGGCAGAAGAAATATTTTTATTTCTACTACAGATGACTGTTGACACTTTCACAAAAATATTTGAATAATAAAAGCAAACCAGTAAATTGGCACTTGCTATTTTTATTTCATACCTTTTTATATCAAACCCATTCCCAGCAAAAAAACCAGCTTTCCCTATCAGATACTTTTTCTGAACTGTACCTTAACCTAACCTACTTAAGAAATGTATTCGTAAAACAAACAAGGATTAACGTAGAACTGATATGGTTGTTTTACAATATGAGCCTTGTGTCGGTTTCATAACAGCCCTTTCGGTGCGTGTTTCCCGTGGGCGTGCCGACCAAGCCCAAGGTAGGCCTGCACCTATTGCGAAACTCATAATTAGTGATGTTTGGATACCGATAACTGAGTGTATTCGAATGCACACCGAAAATCCAACTAAAAGCATCTTAGGTTGCTGACACGTGCTAATTTAATTTAAATTTAAAACTTATTTCCATTATTAATTAACATTAAATAATTATTTTTCTATTTATAAAATTTATGTATTATGTATATTGTTAACTCGAATTGTATGTTGTGTGCACTTGTTATTGGAGCTGCAACAAGTTCTACTGTATAACCTGCTTTAAAAGCTTTGTATGTTATGGTTGTATCCCTGTTTTGTGCACCAAATAAAATAAATAAATAAATAAATTTGCAACGAAAACGTGTTGTCGTCTGTTTCTGGCAGAAAATATTTTTGGTAAAAATATAAGTTTATTCTTAAAAAAACAAGTATTCGTTTCGTCAGTGGCTTAATTATTTTATGGTCTGTTAATTCTTCTCAAATTGTCATACTATTGGTAATAATGAGAATATTATATTAACCTCATTTATTTAAATAAAACAATAAATGATTTGTAGTCACTATCCTCTACAGGTGTACTTATTTCTTTTTTATGTTTCATTTTTATTTGCTGTATCCAAATGTAATTAATCACTTTGAACGCACCACCGCTTTTATAGGTCAGCGATCTCATAAAACCACTATTGTGTCGAGCGTAAAATCGATAACATGAATCGAGAAGTACGTCAGATGTATCCCATCACTAGTCGTGGTCGTAACAGTAATTAATGCGTGGTGTTCTGCAGATAGCACGACAGCGCCCTTCTTTATGACAGCCTGTACTTCAGAGTTATGGCGTAATAGAAATTGTTACAGTTAACCCACCCTTTTGTGCATAGGTCAACGTTAATAAATTTACCTTATAAAAATCGATCATACTACCTAATTGACTGATTTCTGATGTGATGCGATATCTTCAGGGACACATATCAAATTAACAAGTTTTTTTTTTGTTTTTTTTTTTTGTATTAATAATTATTGTTTATTATCATATGACCAGGAAAGTGCTAGACATCCAAACTAAGCCCCGCGGACGAGGAAGACCCCGAATTACATGGATGTCCGTAATCAATAACGACCTCAAAGAAGCCCAAGTTAACAGTAAGACAACCCAGGACCGAGCCGCCTGGAGACGCATGACGCGGAGGGCCGACCCCAAATAAAATGGGAATGGGCCAGGCAAAGTAGTAGTTTATTATCAGCCCGAAATAAAAATTCATTTAAGTACAAGATCGTTAACCTTAAAAATACAACACCCAAACCTCACTGATTGTGTATTCAGTGATTTGCATACAGTTAATTAAGTCTCAAAAATAAAAACAAGTACCTAGTTAACTACTACTGTCGTAGCATAATTAATGCTTGGTGTTCTAAGTAACCATGACAGCACTCTACTCTACTTAACACCCTGTATTTCCGGATAGTGCTTAGTAGAATTTGATACAGTAAACCCACATCTTATGCTCAGTGAAACTACGCGTTAAGGATAAATCTTGTTTATACAATTTGTTCGTCCAGCCAGAGTAGACTGACTGACCGATCATTTATTTATGCAGAGTCTACTGAGTCTGAATATTTTGATGTACCAAATCAAACATTTAACATAGGTTTTTAGTAAAGGTTAATTTAATTTCGAAACGTTTGTACTCGTAAGATTGTTAAAATCTTTTGACGCATAGTTAGTTAAAAAAACTCATATATTTTTGCAAATAGGCTTTTGAAAAGCAATTTTACACGTCCCAGTATTAATATTGCCACTGGTTCGGGACAATAAATGGGCCAGTGCTGAGAAGAAGCAGCGCAAGGAATTCAGTCACTTTTGTTGACAGTTGTATTGTTTACGCACTTTTTCGTAAGCATGTACAGAGCCTACTCATCTTTAGTCTATTGTAGCCATGGGGTTCAGCAATTCGGCGGTGGCGTGCATCTCCCGCCACGTTTGCATAGTAAACCGAGACCGAGTTTATATCTCGTTTGAGTACGCCATAAATAAATTTAAGAGGGACGTGAAACTTTAATAGTTGTTCACAAAAGGATTTACTTAACAGGACATCGTTAACGTTTGTTAACGACCGGATCGTGAATCGCGATATTGATGTTACCTATATCTCGATTTTACTTCGATATGCTATCAAGGCTTTATAAGAACCTAATACAGTTCTCTCTGGAGATAAACTTAAATATTTTCTATTTTTACATGCCCAGACTAGTTGTCTGAAACCTTTTCTCTATTTTATCAGAACACCCACACGTTCAAGTTTATTACACGAGTTTCTCAATTTACTAGCTCAATACATAGGTGTAGCTGAAAATATTCAGGTTTCCTTCAAAAATATCTTTCTGTAGACTACCTAAGTACCTACTAGTAGTATCTACTAACCTCTACTTAAGTACATGCTCTGCGCACGCATTGCGATGCATGATGTGATGTGAACAATGTCAAACTTTAAAATTGTTTAATCTTTGTACTACCTAAATAATGCTGTTTCTATGTATAAACATACTGACACTTACATCACTTAATTTTATAGGTAATACCTATCTAATTTTAGTAACAATTTAGGATGTATAGTGAAAATGAAACCAAGACCTTCTAACACCGATCGTGAATCATTGTAGGTACTATTGATTAAATGCCGCGACCAGCACAAAGACGTGGAACACTGTAAAAATGCATGTCACTCATCCACCATTATTTACTGCCTCGGTCTCATTCAACAATTTGCATGAAAAACGGGTTAAACAATCCATTAACCCCTACTACAAATCACAGATCTGCAGTCTCCAAAATAAACATAATATTTTGTGATTTATTATGCCACACCCCGATTTCATGGGGGTCATTTAATGAAAATAGATTGATTGTGTTCAGGTCCCCATGACAAAATTAAAAACCTGACGGTTATAATTCAGAAATCGCTTAGCTCTAGCGCTTTTTCGTAAAAAAAATTGATGCGACAGTTAACAAACGGTGTCAATTTCGGACTCAGATTCGAAGGTCTATAGTTCGATAGAATCCCACCACCGCTGGATTTACCCTGAATAAAAAAAGTATCCTGTAGGTTTTGATTCCTTTGCGAGTGTCGAAAATTTGTTGAAAATATCGACATAATCGGCTGTATCTTTTGATTGGCTTGGCTTAGAAGTTTGATATTTTCACAGCTTAAAGGGACAATAGACCTGAGTATTTCATGTAAATTTCAGCTTGATAAGTCTACGCGTTCTTGAGATAAAGGGTCTTGACAGACAGACAGACGGACAACAAAGTGATCCTATAAGGGTTCCGTTTTTTCCTTTTGAGGTACGGAACCCTAAAAAGAACTTAAATGAAAATCCTCGCTCTACGCACTCGCGTACCTACTTCGCTCGGTGAAGCGATTTCGAAAATAAAACTATCACGAATATAATAGCTTTATATGTCTAGCGATAACAAAAACATCGAATTACCTTAACAAGTAGCAATTTACGTAAAATCAGCTGTTACGTGGGCTAACTCGATCTGCTCGAGTGGCGGAGACTGGAGTGCTCATTCTTATCCTTTATAATTAGACCATTTGTGTGCCCAAAGCAGAATTCCAACCCTCAGGCTTATTTGTAATGTTATTCTAACCTTTCGCTATATTTTGTCGCAAATTATAAATGTACACGAGGTGAACAATTTAGGAAATATCATGTGCGTTCTTCATAAATGTTAAATTGAGTGGTGTCGATGTCATCTTTACAGGTTGCTTAGATTTAGCAAAGCCATAGATAAATACAAGTTGTACTTAGTTACAACTTAGATGAGATTGTGTTCCAGTGCTTCGTATGGTGACGGACGAAACATTATTTGAAACACTCACGTTTCTGTTCAGACTCAGATGTAATTTTTAGGACAATTCCATCCAATTATCGAGTCGGTGTGGCCGACTCGAGATACGAGGAACGCGGGTTCGAATCCCACCGCCGCTCGACTATTGTGGTGAGCCCACTCGTAACACAAGCTTATTTAGCTTACCACGAGGGGCTAATGGGACTATTAGTAATTTTTTTTTTAAAAGATTATTACCAATTTGTATTAAATTGGTAATAATCTTTAAAAAAAAAAAAAAAATAAATAATAGCTAGTTGATATCAACAAAAACTAATTGTGAATGTAATCTTACCATCTACTCTTCTCCAAAGAACACCTGAATTGAATAAAATATAACATTATTTATTGACCTGATAAAGATAGGAAGGCGCTGGATGCAGGCCGCTACCAACCGTGCGATGTGGAAGTCATTGGGGGAGGCCTATGTTCAGCAGTGGGCGTCCTGTGGCTGAAATGATGATGTTAATGATGATTATTCATTGCTACGAGTACTTCTGTGTACAGTTGTAATAAAGGCTTTTACCCCACAGGCGGCCAGCATGGCGTCTGCGGCGAATGAGAACCGCAAGCTGCTGCAGAACCAGGAAGCGAACAGCAGGACCATCAACCATCCCATGGCGCTGCGCAAGCGACTGCGCCCGCCANGACCGCCGCGCCAGCCCCGGCCCGCGAGGAGACTCCCGCAGGTTTGATCTATGGCACAGTTTTAAGGGGGGATTAGGGGCCCCATCACAATCACAAATAACTGTGAAATGCGATCTTTTTTGCTGTTTTTGGGCAAAAATACTACTACCATACCATAATAACACTGATTTAATTACAAAACTACAAGAAACTTTGTAGGCAATTGTTTACTTTCTACATTGCACTGTACGCACAATAGCCCTTAATACTATTACTTATTATGTGCCTTAACTTAATAAAAGTATTCTAACTTTGGACGTCATTTAACGGGGCACTTTATAGCTAGTACATTTAAAACTATTTTAATTAACATCATATTATAAGATATTACCTATGTGTGTAGTGTAATGTGTTATTAAACGACAGCTTTTAACTGACTTTTCATGTAGGTATTTCCTTATTAATACAGGATCAAAAATTGCAAACTTAAACATAAAATCACGAAACATAGACACAGTGTGTAAAAATAACTTTTTCCATCTTCCGATCCTAGATTTATTTGAACCTCCAAGATATTTTTCCGCAAAAGTTAAAAGTTCTGCTTACTTTGATATGTAAAACTAAGCAACTGGTATGTAAGACGTTTGGTTGTTAGCTCACCCTATATTTATGGAGTAACCTGGTTTTTTTTGGTTACTTTTATATGTCTTTGTAGATTAAACTAACCAGTCCAAGTTTATTCCAATTAGGTTTTGCTAACCACAATTAATTGTGAGACTACTTATATGTATATTTTATTATCTATACATCAATACTTGAAAGCACTTAAAAGGCTTCCTTCAGATCAATCTTTGGCGAAGCCCTAAGATAACAAAACTCTATTTGATACTAGTATATCTTTGTTGGGACTTACAGCAATATAGGTAATTATGTAGTATTGAACTGTCAACTCCAATAAAATCATAAATAAAATAATATGTTTAAACAGAACATTACACTGATTGTAACATATGTGATAATAATACATTCCACATCAACTAGAATAATAATATGCAAATGGTTTCATTTGCCTTAATTACGTTTGCACATACTCCATTGGGCAATTACAAAGGCGTTCATCCATTCCAGGCTTTGATCATCGGAGTACGGAAGTGCGGAACCAGGGCGCTGCTAGAGATGTTATACCTCCATCCCATGGTGCAGAAGGCATCAGGGGAAGTCCACTTCTTCGACAGAGATGAGAACTACGCACTGGGCCTGGAGTGGTATAGGAGCAAAATGCCGATGTCTTTCAAGGGGCAGATCACGATAGAGAAGAGTCCTAGCTACTTCGTTACACCTGAAGTAAGTAACTTTTTACAGCTTCGTATGGTTTATTTTTAATTTAAAAATAAATGAGATAAATTAGTTCAGATTTCGGATGTCAAGAATTAATTATCGTACAATAAATACTACAGCTACATTTTAATCGATATTCCTAATGCGATATGTAGGTACGAGTTTATGTCAGACCACTTGATGACAGTTTGAACGATTTGAAAAGATTCGTATTAAAGAAAAAAGCGAGTCGTCTTCTATGACTGAAATCCTCGTGGGTGAAGCTGTGAGAAGAAGCTAAATATTTTATTTAAAACAGGACATTCTTAATTGTTTTAAAATCTTAAAATTATTCACCCAGACACTACGAAATAATATCTATGATCGAGAAATGTACTTACGTAACGTTATGACGTTATGGTGTTTGTGAGAGTCTTGTCAACCGTAGCCTACGGCTGCTACGCCGTAGCTTGCTGTACTACGAAAATATAGAAACGTCTGTCGTTTGCTACGAGTACCTACATTCATAATACATACAAAATGTATTCTGTTTAGTTTGGGTTGATTCGCTTCGAAACGAAATAAATTAATTATAAATTAAATTTAATTTTTTATTTCTAGTTTGATATGTGTTTTATAATTTAATATTTAACTGGACTTCTAGCTACGAGAAACAATTTAAGACAGAATCTTTAACAAACTGAAACTTGTATTTAACTACACATGAACATGAAAGAAATAGTCTTCTTTACATTATGTGTTTACTATTTATTAGTTCGTCGAAACCAATTGATCCACGGCGATGAAGCCAATGCTTCAACGAACTAATATTCGTTCTGAGAAATCATTTAAATGTAAATCAATTTACATAAATGTCGAATACTATACCGTTGTGATTTGAATCGCATAAGAGCTTCGTAGATAAACTTAACTTGAGAAATCGAGTTCTTAGAAGCAATTTGGATAAGCCGCTCACTGATATGAATAAATTGTATAGTATAATAAGTTTAGTTAAACATTCCTACAATTACTTAACAAATGTTAGGATTTTGACCCTGCACAACTATTTACTAAAGTATTTAGAAACAGATAAGACGTGAGCTTTTATTTTATTGAGTCAAGTTGTAAATTTTTTCAAAGCTCGCCAAACAAGGCGTTGGATGAATCTGGCGTTTGTCGGCCGTTTGGTGTAGTGGTTCAGAACGGACTACTTTGCCGAGAGGTCCCGGGTTCGATTCCCGGCCGGGCAGAAATTGAAATGCTGAATTTCAATTTCTTCAACGGGTCTGGGTGTTTTCTATGTATAATATGTATGTATTTACAAAAAAAAAGTATTCAAGTATGTTTATATCCGTTGTCTAGTACCCATAGTACAAACTTTGCTTAGTTTGGGACTAGCGGCGCAGTGTAGAAAAAAAAATCTCTTTATGACCTATGCTGTTCCTAAGTTGGGAACACAAGCGGTGTCCCATAAATGAGTTTTGCCCAAGACCTCAAGGAGCCCGGGAGCCAGCGCCTCAAGCCATTCGTTTCTCACACTCACAACTGAAACGAGTCTATAATGGTTTAAATGAACGTGCCTTAATCTTTTGTTAATAATTAAATTAAAATAATTAAAATACTCACGATAGGTCCCCGAGCAAGACCGAGCCATGAACTCATCAGTGCGTCTGCTCCTCATAGTCCGGGAGCCTATGACGCGAGCCATTTTTTTCATACTACATAATAGAACGATTCTGAAATGGTTTGAATGGACGTTCCTGAATCTTTTGTTATCTTCTGTTACTCACGATAGGTCCCCGAGCGAGTTCGAGCCATGAACTCGTCAGTGCGTCTGCTCCTCATAGTCCGGGAGCCGGTGACGCGAGCCATCTCGGACTACACTCAACTCAGGAGCCGCGCCACACCGTCGGCGCCCGCGCACCCGCTGCTGCCCGGCCATCCCGTGCCCGACGCGGCCAAGCCGTTCGAACATCTAGCTATCTCGCCCGACGGATCTATCAATGTTGCTTACAGGTAAGTCATTTATTTATTTCAACACAAATAATGCATTGTTTATGTTTTCTTTACAGCTTCTTTTTTTTCTCAGCTATTTTACACTCTTGACAACATCTCGCTGTTTTTCAGGATTTGCATAAAATATTAGTTCTGTATCAATTAATTACTCAAGTCATGCTTGAAAGCTTGTATCTTATTTGCTAATTTTAAAATGAGTCACATTAATATTTCAATTTGTGAAATCTAAACAACTTGATCCGAATACTACTGTTAAAAACGTACAATACAGAGAACAGGGCGTAAGCTTACTGAATCAAAATTATCTATTATTATTATTCATTGAGTCAGAATCAGAATTAAGAGGTTTTACTTTAATTAATTATACTGTGTTATACATAGCGGGCTCACTGTTAATTACAATTTCTCCCAAGGGTGTCGATTTGATATGAAACAAGTCCGCCCCAAAATCCAAATTGAATGAAGTACAGACTACAATATCATGAAAAATACTGGCATCTTATGCCTAGTTGTAATCTCGTATTTTGCAACAAAAATACAATCTGATACTATACTGTAAAATATGTCATCTACAGCCCTTTACAGTCCACTGTTGGACTATGAGCCTCCTCCACTTTAGTGGAGAGTTTTGCCATAATCTCCACGATTGGCAGGCGGTTTGGAGATCGCAATTTAAAAGATTGATGTTTATCAGAGAGCGCTGCTGCCCGTTCTCTGTTGAATGTGTAGTCCCTAAGTCGCCTCTTACGACACCCACGGGAAGAGTAGGGGTTGGTGACAAAATGTATTCTACTCTGTATTCTACACGGCCACCGATACAATATGTATGACAGAATAATGATTTCCACAGACCAATAGCGATATCCCTGTACCACGCGTACCTCCACCGATGGCTCGAGGTTTTTCCCCGAGAACAGATTCTGGTGGTGAATGGAGACCTGCTCATCGAAGACCCTGTACCGCAGCTGCGACGCATCGAGAAGTTCTTGGGCCTGGAACACAAAATTGGTAAGTACTAAAGAATAATGCTCATTCAACTGGCAAAAATGTTTACAAAATAAAGAATAGATCAACGGTACCTTTGTACCTTGTCTTAATGTTGTCTAAATTCGTGCCCGAACTATTGAGTACATAAATAAAGAAACTTTCAAAGGAAATTGCTTTGTACCTAATTGAAAACTAGTTCTTTTGTGCCGGTGTCTATTTGGCTGTATTTTGCTCTAAAAGAAAGATTACTTTGTTGTAATATAAAATGGATTAAAAAAAAATACATCAGTAGTCGGTACATAACCGAACTAGTTATTTAGACTTCTGTATCTTGCGCTGTAATAGCTAAAGAGGTCCCATTTCACAACAGGAAGAAAAAACTTCTACTTCAACGAAACGAAAGGGTTCTACTGCTTGCGTAACGACACCACGGACAAATGCCTCCGTGAAACCAAAGGACGGAAGCACCCACGCGTAGACCCAGCGGTGGTCACCAAACTCCGCAAGTTCTTTATCCAGCACAACCAAAGGTTCTACGACCTAGTAGGAGAAGACCTCGGCTGGCCAGAGGACTGAATATAAAACAAACGATTAAAGACCCAGAAGCAAAGCGAATAAAATCCATTTCGAATTTAACAACTTGACTACTTCTTTTTAATTTCATGCCGAAGGCAATGCAACTTCGTATTTATGGCCAGTACTCTGCAACAAAGATCGCATTTTATTATTGATTCTCACAAAAACAAATGAACAATCGAATTTAAATTTTAAAATAGGAACACAGATTTAAACCTGGCATAAATTGGATTAAATCGTTCGCTAAGCATCTAGGTATTTGAATTCGTTGGTAATGCCGCATTTTACGCATCCCAGGTGCATGCACCATGTTGTGATCTAATACATATCAAAGTAATTTACACATATCAATAAAACATATCGTAGCTAGTAAGTTTTTTAAATCGTTTATGTATACATGTAGCATATACTTAGTATAGGGCATCTGGAATAAATTTATTTATAGCTAATTCATCGTACTCAAGTAGGAATTGTTTTCGATATTAAAACATTACATTGCGTTGTATAAAGCGTTACACTTTATTTAGGTTGCCTACCTGTGTGAAAGAAAAGAGGGAACAACTGAAAATTTATGAAAGATAAAGATTTAGAAATTTGTATAATGGTAGGCAAAGATTATTGTTGTTTTCGAGTTATCATGATAGTGTTTTTCACTGGCATTATTGCACTGATTTGTAAGACCGACCCACTGGAACCCTGAGCAATATATTTTTATATATATAATTAAGTATTGTGTGCAACCTTTATATTTATACAACGTTTATTATACAGATTTAATATTTTAACTGTTTGTGATGATAATTTCTTTTAATAGGATAAATTATTTTATATTAGATATAGGTGTTCAGATATAAGTGTATAATGTAATAATAATATAAAAGATGAATGAATGTTGTAAATTTTTCGCTTTCTCTTTTTAGATGTCGTGTTTTGGTCAGTGTGTCTTTCATGTGTTTACGTTGTTAGTGGACGTGGTTTTCCCATAATACCTTAGGTATAACCCATACTTTCAAGATACAAAATTGAAAATTTAAGATAGCTTTTAATCGTTAAAAAATCTTATTTACATTAGATCCAAAACGTGAAATAACACTATCGTCTAAAATCTAAATGTATATGACTATCCAAATTCTATGAAGTTTTAATTTGATGTGTGTGATGATACCTATTAATGCTGATTCTACTGAAAATAATAAGTTTAAACTACGGAGAGATATTAATATAAATTCGACGCGGGTTTTAGAAGTATTCTATTTAAGTAACGTAACGTCCAAGACTGAAGAGTTAGTTGAATAAGTCTAAGTAATACCTATTTAGCATAAAATGTCCATAGGTAATACGTAAGACAGAGGCCGCCACGCTTGCCCAGCCAGGCTGGGATGCGCGCCGCGATATACTTTATCGACGTCAAAATGTTGGCATAATCGATAAAATGGCGTGATAACCGCTTATCGTAGCGCGCATCCTAGGCCTACAGGACTCGACACCTTAACTTGGCACGACCCGGTAAAGGTGACCGTTCACTCTGTCGAAACTCGCGAATGTTCGCTCTGCCTTCATAAGTCAACATAAAGTACGTTCATTCTGCTCTGATATACCTAAATCACATCTGAAATGTTGATTACTTAACAGTATTATCTAAATATATAAAAGGAGAAACTGACTGACTGACTGACAGATCAACGCACAGCCTAAACGGCTAAACGTAGGCACTTGAAATTTGGAAGGGACGTAGCTTAGGTACCGTAGAGGTGCACTAAGAAAAGAATTCCCGAAATTCCCACGGGAACGGGAATTAGCGGGAAAAACAGGATTCACGCGTACGAAGTCGCGGGCAGCCGCTAGTCAAGTAATATGTAAATTGCTATAGAAAATTTACAAAATTAAGCTTTAAAAGCAGAAAGCTAACCATACTACCTACTACTTTATCTCCCAACCAACATAATGAATGAAACCCTTATTAGGAACCTTTTATAGACAAAAATAAAAAGCCGTGTGGTGACGGCAGAGCAGAATACATTTGTCACCAACCCCTACTCTTCCCGCGGGTGTCGTAAGAGGCGACTTAGGGACTACACATTAAACAGAGAATGGGCAGCAGCGCTCTCTGAAAAACATCAATCTTTTAAACTGCAATCTCCAACCCGCCTGCCTAGCGTGGAGATTATGGCAAAACCCTCCACTATAGTGGAGGAGGCTCATAGTCCAGCAGTGGACTGTAAAGGGCTGTTGATGATGATGATGATAGACAAAAATAAACAGTTTTTAACACCAGGTCACCTAGAGAAAATGGGCAAGCGAATGATGACGGGTATTATTTTATGTTTAAAATAAAACAACGCACGTTACAAATTAATTATAAAAACTAATACACACAACATACAACTTAATTAAGCGACACAACTTCTTTTTCACCGCTCTTGACCGATAAATTAGCGATGTTTTACCACACCTCTGTGATAATTAACCATACTCTTTCGCTCACGCGAGTTATCTTAACTCGTAGCAAAATTTTAAAGAGCAGACATAAATCAATGATGTCTGTTTATTACCATCTATCTAGATGCTGAAATTCTACACTTCGACTCAGTAGAGTGAACGTTCACCTTTATCCAAAATCGAAAATGTAACTCACTGACGAGTTTTGTGTGACAATTCTAATTGATGCACGTTAGTTGTCACACAAAACTCACGACACGATATCATACGACACGGGTGATTAGTTCGTGCTAACTACTGGTTTTAGTTAAGTCAAGATGCACTTTTAAACTCGATTTAAGGCGAAGTTCTTTTACTAGGAATTTGCTTCCAATCCAAATTTCAATCAACGAATGTTTATATGTTTTTATAACCCAGTTTAAAGTACTTTAGACGCGTACGCGTATGTGAATAACTCCCTTTGTATGTAATGTGTAATAGTGAATAACACCTTACTTGATTATGAGCACTCGCTGCTAGGTTTGATGTATACAAGTTGCTAAATCTGTTAATTATTAAAATACCTATCCATTTCCTTAATTGCCTGTATAAAAAAGGTGCAATCAGCAAGATTTACAACTGTTATAAAACACAAAAAAAAAATTGTAAAAAATAACTTGGATAATATTTTAGCAACTTGTATGTCAACAAGAATATCAAGCATATCAAAAATTTTCAATAATAGTTAAGTTTTTATTATAAGAGTTCTATAAGTTACATTTTGAAGTTAAGATATTTTATTTGTGTAGGACTAATTCAATAGTTGATAGATAATTTTAATCACTGTTAAATGTTGTGCACATTCATAAGGCGTAGTTAAATTTTTGATTAGGGCAATAATTTTATAGTAATTAACATTAATTTATTATGAATCAATTCAAAATATATTTATATTTTTATTGGGTAGAAAAAACTTTTTTCTACTTCTTTTGTGATATTTTTCATTATTTTTGTAATTGCATCTTTACCTATGGATTCTGATATTTAATTATGTTTTAAAAGTTTTAATTATAGTACCTATATTTACACTAAATCAATTTTAAAAGTATTACCTAAATCTTAATGTTACCTACAATCCCTTGTAAATATCTTCTAACATTTCTTTCAATAAGTTAATTGTACCTGCATCTTCAATAAAATATCCAAACTGGAATATTATGGTAAATTATTTCAAAAATATCCACATTCTCCTACATAATTAAAACCTGTTATTAGAAAAAGAAGAATTTCAACAAATAAACAAATTATAATTTTACCAAACAAATTCCACGAATGTATGATTTAATGGTAATTTATTCAAAAGAAACAATAATATTTTTAATAACAGTAGGTACAAATTATGGTAACAAAGTTTCAAATGCTTGGGTTTGCCAAGAATTTTACATAAAGCAACTACCGAGGTAAACAACCGAGGCGCAATTGAGTTATTTAGTTACAGTTTGAAGCTTGAACTAAGGGTGCCGCCTCGGTAACAGCGGGGAGCAAATAATGGACTAAAACAAAATGGACAATAAAAGTAACGCTCTAGGAACAAGAAAATGGTGCACGACCTTATCACCGCAGAAAGATGGTGACATAAATAATTTTGCTGTCGATTACTCAAAGTTGAATTCCGCTGTCGGAGGATAGAGTCAATAAAACCTTCAGATTTCAAATTATTCTTTCTTTCTTTCTTTCATTTCTGACTGCATAGACGACAGCATTTCAAGATAAATAATAAACACTGTGGCTTTTATTGTACCCACTGGGTGCTATTTTCCAACAAAAAGATTAAATAAGTAGTCGCACAATGAATTACAGAGACTAATTTTGTAGTCAGGATCCGACTTTTATCAACGAGTTGCCTTTTGTCTCTTCCGCTCATCGCACCGTTCGTCGTCCGCTGATATCGAGTACACCAAACTAACTTGGATTCAGTTCTAAACGAGGCGGTAGTGTTTGTCAATCAAATACACTGAGTTGTGAATGAGAAAATTCAGCGGCTGAACTTTTATTAACTCGCTGTTAGAGCATACGTAGTAGCAAATGTTAGAGCCAAAGCACACGATGTGTTGCGGCGCCACACCGTAAAAAAAATGCCATATCGCGCGGCGCGGCACTGCACCGCTCGTGTGCCCGCCACAGATATTTTTCCATGTAAGAATACGACGTAGTGACACTACTCCGGAGTCGTACTACGGTCGCAATGCATCGTGTGCTTGGCTCTATATGTGTAAATGGGTAAGTAAGTACATATAACAATGGTGATCATAGGTCATAGAGTCCGCTTGAATTGTGTAAGTACCCGGAAAATAGCTGATTAATAAGAATTTGAAGGTCGGCTCCGAAAGTAATATGATAGAAGGATGTTGGGTATCGCTATATTGGTGAAGATGAAGAAATGGTTTGTGAGATCAAATATTATGCAGAGGAAACGTAACGCAACTAACAAAAAATCATTCTTCCAGAATAAAACATGCCATCTAACTACCTAACTAAATAACTAATAATATCGTCTTATTCTTACTCAATATCGTGGTTTGTTTAGTTCAACTTTCTTAGAATGAGTTGTTAAGTAGCACAAAATCTGTGTAGGTACACAACATGAGGACATAAATTGTAGTTGCCCCAAGCCTCCGGACCCTGCAGCATCAATCACTCGCTTCCCTCGACGGTTACCGGAGGCAAATAGAGGTCACGGATGTAAGAAACATCACAGAGTATACAATATTTATTTTTTTATTTATTGATAAAGGTACACCAACAGCAATACACATTTAAAGTAACTTGTAACACAATTATGTTTGACAAATCCGTCAGAACATGACGCACCTCAATATAATTAAGAATATGCTAATTGAATACAGTTTAATCAGTTAAATCATTCAATATACTCGTATACATAGGATTTTAACTACTTATTGCCAAATTTGAATCGCGTTTTGCGTATCGCATCCTTTATTACTTCATATAAAATATTATTTAAGCCGGAGTTGCATCATCTCACTTTAACTAAAATAAAAGTCTGTCATACTCTATACAAAAACACCGGTTATATGTAGCTATACAATATGGTCAAAGTTAAGGTAATGCAACTGAGGTAAGCCTTCAAACATCCTAATTATAACATTATTATCGTTATCGTTCTTAGATACCAAAATTGGATGGGTCACCAATCCGTATACCTATTTAATACCTTAAAAGGAATTAATCCACGTTTAGAGCGCCATGTTAAAGTTTACGCCGGTTTATATCACTGGCACTAGTCATTAATCTTAGTCACTACTTAGCTGATTCCCGCAACTTGGACGATGTTTTATTTTTTTGAGGCAAAATCCTTCCTGAAGAGCACAGTTCGCGCCAAGAGAATGAGACAATAGTGTAAGTTTGATAAAATGTAAGTAAGAAAGTGTCAATAAAATGTGCAGCATTTGATATTAAAGTAACAAAGAGACTAGAATAATTTGACGAATTAATTTAATCTTTAAAATATTTTGTAGTTTTTTTTACACGTTTCAGCATAGCTTTTGTGCATAACTTTGCTCGTGACTTAACATGAAAATAACACCATACCTATAGCAAAATATACGAGAATGATTACAATGAGGACCTTTGGGAATAACCCTGATGACAGTGTTTCCTCTGGTAAAAATAATTGGTGTGATGATTGATTACAATATTGCTTTTTTGCGGATATAGGTATCTTCAGATATTTAAAAAAGCAAAAAAAGCAATGATGGTGGTTGCTATTTTCAACAAGCAATGGTGAACCATTGTTCGTTGAAAACAGTATATTCCCCAGTTTCAAAAAGTCTAGTTGTGTGCAAACTTCCGGTACATTCCCAGCTTGCTTCAGATAGCATCTACAGCATCAGAATTCAAACCGTTTAGCGTTGCGAAAGCTAAGCAAATGCCAGTACAGAAATACAATCCAATTTGTTCGAGCGGGAATTGTCTTAACGCTGCCACGCTGCTGCATTCGCTGCTCCATTGTGGAGATAATGGAGTAGATGGAATCTTAGTTTGACGTAGTTTTAATGATGACGTCATCAGAATTATCGGGGGTGCCAAATATAAGAGCAGGTTCAATTACAATCGTTTGTTAACTAAGTAATTGCGTGGTTGCTACGAGTTCGTTGGGATAACTTCATTACTCGTATATTCTTAGCCTTTT